TGAGCACCTGCACTCTGAAAGTGGAAGCTGTCCAACAACTTCATGAAAACATCCCGTCTTAATTTGTAATTTGGAGAAAATATTTCCGCCTACTTTTTTCGACGTCATGGAACACCTAGTTGTCCACCTCCCGTAGGAGGCATTACTTCGTGGACCTGTGCATTATGGATGGATGTATCAGTATGAAAGAGCCTTGAAAACTTTGAAAGGAAAAGCCAAAAACCTAGCAAGAGTTGAAGGTACTATTGTTGCGGGAAGTTTGACGGAAGAAACATCACATTTCACATCGTACTACTTTCCACCGAAAGTAAGTACAAGGAAACGAGCTCCAAGAAGATATGATGATGGTGGTGTCGTGCCGACATATATGGAAGATGATGTTCCAGACATCTTTTGTCAAATTGGACGATTGGGTGGGAAATTGAAAGAGGTTTGGTGGTCGAGTGATGAAGACGTCCATAGTGCACACCTTTATATTCTTCTTAATTGTGAGCATCCATTGATTGCTTATTTTGAAAGGTAAATATATAAACATACACACTTATATATATATATATATATTTCAATATTAAATATATAACATAACATATATGATTTTACAGCCAATTTGTGACTCAAGTCGAGGAAGCAATACCTGGTATATCGACAACTGAGTTAGACAAAAGGAAAGATCAACACTTTATCAAGTAGTTGAGGAAACATGTATTTATTATAACTTCAATTTTATGCATAAATTATCACAAAGTAAGTCTAATGTCTAGTTATATTACTTTTTGTTGCAGGTTGATTATGACGATCCTGAGTATCCCGCATGGTTTCGCGAATTTCTTCAAGGTCCAGTTGCAAAGGTCACTGCATCATCAACGTATTTCACCCGAGGCTATACTTATCATACCTACGACTATGGTAGACACCGGCCGACAAGTAATTATGGAATATGTGTGAAAGGCGAAACAGATTTCTACGGGATCTTGCAGGAGATTTATGAAGTTCAATTCCCAGGTATGATTTTGAAATCCGTTATCTTCAAGTGTGAGTGGTACGACCCCGTCGTCAACAGAGGTGTTCGGATTAACAAGAACGGTGTAGTTGATGTCAATGGTGGACGAAGGTACAACAAATTCTTTTTTTTTATATCCAGGTTTCGAGTATTAATTAATTTTTACATTGATCTTTATTTTTGTAGGTACAACAAGTTCGAGCCTTTCATATTAGCTTCCCAAGCCGATCAAGTTTGCTTCATTCCATACCCTCGGATTACTACTTCGGGAATAAACTGGTTAGCTGTTATCAAAGTTACACCTCAAGGACGGATAATCGCTGGAGAAGAACCACCATTACAAGAACAAAACACCAATGAGATCGAGGAACCTGAAGCAGAAATTGATGACATCCTACTCATTGATCTGCATAATTGTAAATACGAAGATGTTCCTGATCACTCAACGGACGAAGGTGTAGAGGACGAGTTTTACGAAAATGATGATGTTTCAACAGATTACGAAAAATGTATCCGAATGAATTATGTATGTTTATAAGTTTGTTTAATCACAAAAATGAATTTGGATTATATATGTTTTAAGTTTGTTTAATCACAAAATTAATTTGCATTTGGGGTTTATGTGTAGAAGAAGTTAGGAGTTTGATTGTAGAAGAGGTTATAAGTTAAGGAAGTTGTGGTTTGGGGTTTGGGGTTTCGAGTTTAGGGATTTACAAACCCTTTCCTCGTAAAGCCCTAGTAACAGAAAACGCGGGCATAGCTGTTTCCTCGTAAAGTCTTAGTAATTCCATTACTAGGACTTTACGAGGAAAAAACGCTGGCATAACTATTTCCTCGTAAAGCAGTTTCCTCGTAAAGTCATAGTAATGGTATTACTAGGACTTTAGGAGGAAATAAAAACACGGGCATAGCTATTTCCTTGTAAAGGCCTAATAATGTTACTAGGGCCTTACGAGGAAACAAAATTCCTTATATAAACTCGTGCAATCCGATTTCTCATTTGTAGTAAGCTTCCCTCTGAATTCCCTAAAGGTTCTCTCTATTTCCTTGTTAGGTGATTAGATTAGGGAATTTAGATTAGGTGGTTAGTTTAGAAAATTTAGATTAGGTGGTTAGTTTAGGTAATTTAGATTAGGTTGATTTACTTTTTTAACTGTTTTTTAATTATACGGGAGTTAATGTTTTTTTTTTTTAAAGAAAAAAAAATTAGATGCCTAGACAGAGAAAGATTGCTAAGGCTAAGAGGCCTCGGGACTCACTATGGAGATCTTTTCGGTCGTCACCCAGGCGCATCATCTTCGTCAGCTCCCGGTTCATCTTCGATTCTGGATCCTGACGCTGTTCCCGAGACTCAGGGAGTTTCTACGGCATCCTGGTCTGAGCAACCACCTCCTCCTCCTCTTCCTCCACCGGTCGGGGTTCATCCCGATTTGCAGGTGCCGACAAACGCACCATTTACGGTGTACACGGTGGAGGATATTATGGCCCTTCCAAGCAGAGAAGGGCTTCCAGAGTTAGATCATATCCGACGGGACGGCTAGAACATATTACGGTATGTTTTAATTTTTAAAAAGTGTTCTTAATTTATTTCTTAATTAACAAAATATTTACAAATTAATCTAATTAATGTTTTATTATGTGTCTTTCCAGGTTTGGTCTTGACAGATGTGTCGCTCAGAGCGTCACAGACTGTATCAAGGGATACTTTCCCGATGCAGCTCCAAACTGGAAGAAGAGGCCGAGCCACACAAAAAGACGCGGTTTAAATCCTTCGTTGTAAGTTTAATTAATCAACTTAATTTATTTTTAATTATTTAAAATTATTAATATTATTGAACTAATCCGTCTCTTATTTTTTTCTGGTTACAGCAAAAATATCGTTGGTCTATAGGGATTCACCAGCGGGTGAAGACGGAGTTTGAGGCGAAGGCAAGAGCATGATGCACGACATGGTCTACAACTGGAAGGGCAACTTTCAGGTCTGGATTTATAAATTATATATATATAGTTTTAAATTATTTATTGACTTTAATTCTAATTATTTTTTGTTTAGGTGGATGGTTACGAGGACGGGAAACCCGATTGCCTCATATTCAACGTGTGGGATGGCCTCATCAGATATTGGGGGTTGCCGGACTCGGTCAGAACCTCCCACACAAACTCCGAGAACCGCATGACCAAAGACGAGCATGACAACACGAAGATGCTTCACACCACGGGTCGAAAATCTCACGGGGGAGTTCGTCTAGACATGGTAAGATGATTTTTAATAACTATTTAATTTTTACTCTATCTGAATATTCTAAATTAATATTTAATTTTAAAAATCATTTTTAGGCTAAAGAGATAGGAGTTCTTCCATCTCTGAAAGACCTTTACGAGAGGACCCACCGGAACAAGGTTGGGCAGTTTGTAGATCCTGCTTCCGAGCGGATCTACAACGAGGTTGTTGCCCGGGTTGACGAACGCCAGACCCAACTGACTCAGCAGACTGGGACTCCAGTCATATTATCCACTCTTGAAGTGGATAAGATTTACGAGGAGGTAAATCATTTGTTTTACTATTAATTTTTATTATTTATTTAAATTTTTTCTTAACGTTATTAATATTTTTATTTGCAGGTCGCCCCTAGGAAAAATGGGCGTATCGTCGGGATTGGCTCCGTTAACGATGTCCCCACAGCGACATTGTCTTATCCTCAGGAACAGCACGATGTCAATGCTCAGCTGCGCTCTGAGTTGCAGGCGACGCAGTCTCATGTGAGTTCGCTCACCGAGCATGTGAGTTCTCTCACCTCGACATTTTGGCGGTTGGAAACCCGCAATTGGCGGAGATATTGCGTCAGAGACGAGAAAGCGGAGGGCTTCCAACCCAACAGCCTCCACCATCACAGTCACAGCCGGCAACCAACTTTGGAGAGGAGGATTTGGCGAGCCAGGATATCAGCAATTTAACGAGCACCATCCGTAATTTTTTATTTTATTTTTGATTGTATATTATGAATTTTAAAACTTAATTGTATATTATTTAGTTATTTATAAAATATTTAGTAATTTATTTTTTTATTTATAATTTAGTTTTTAAATTTTTTAAAAATATATTATTTATATTTATAATTAATCTTTTTTTAATAGGAAAAAAAATAATTCGGAGCAAAATCCTCGTAAAGGATTCGAAGTAATGTCCTCGTAAATAGTTATAGTAAGTTCCTCGTAATGTATTACTACGAGCTTACGAGGAAAAAAATTACTATGACATTACGAGGAAACACTATGAGGACCTTACGAGGAAAAACTATCCATGCATTTACGAGGAAAAGTTTCCTCGTAAATTAGCTAGGACCTTACGAGGAAAAAGACTTTACGATGAACGTATTTCGACGAAACGCATTTCCTCGTAAGTTACTAGGAAATAACGAGGAAAACTCGTCCTAGTAATGGACGAATTTTCTTGTAGTGTATGTAAATAATAGAAATCCATAGAGATTCATCGGTTTAGTTATCTAATTTATGGTTTTAAACTACAACTCTTAAATCTAAATCCTAAGTATAAATTAGTTAAACCAAGAATATAAATATATATATTTATCTTTTAAGAAACATTTATTTTTGTCATTTTCTTCTTTTGACGACTATATTTTATCTTTGTGAAAATAAACTAAAAGAATATCCAAAAGAATTTCTCTATATTTATATTAAAACATAATTTTTACGCTAATTAAAAAATGAAAAAAAAAACTTGGGTACCCTTTAAATGTTGGGATTTCATTCAAATGTTCCACAAAAATAGACTCTGGTCCACTCTAATGTACCATTGATTAATTAACAACTTTATTGACAAAATGATAACTAAAAAGTGAAAGAAACACTAGCGAGCTAATGATTTTTTTTCATTGCTAACAATTAAATTTAGTATGCATACTTGGTTTGTAATCAAGTCTCCGGAGTCCATTTTCTATATGATGATCTAAACTTTCGAAAACGAAACCCCATATTGACATTATGAAGAGACTAGTTGAGTGAGAGTTAAAGGGGATGAGTATTGTGAATTAGATAACATAAAGTCCACGATGGTTCGAGACGCAGCTTCCGTGGGGTGACCGAAGCGATCCCAGAAGAGATATTTGGTCCTGTCTGGGCACAACTTCGCGATTGGTTGACAAGGACTAGCCGCGTTTAAATTCCCTTTCCCACAACAAGCTGATTTCACGTCAGTAAAACCTAAAAATCACAAATAGAAAAAAGACACGGTTTTGGTTTCTTATATAATCTCATGACATGCAGCAGGAACGGCTTGATTTGGTTTAAGGCTCAGGATTTGCTGCAACGATCCGTCCTATTTTTCATTAGCGGCCATAACAAAAGTTAAATACTTTTTTACTGACTTACCGTAGCGGGCAGGGTTGGAGTTAATGTCCTGCACGGACTTGAAATTGTCAAAGTAAGAGTAAGTCATTGAGTTTTGCAATTCTTGTTTGAGTTGTTGCAACATCTTTACTAGAGCTTCGTTGTACAAAGAGCACGACCTGTTTGCCTCTTTGTCGCATTCGTGGAGGTACGATTCCGTGTCTCTATTCCCCGGTATGCAACCAATCTGTGCAACTCCGACTACTAGGAATCTACGTGCTCCAGTTTTGTGAATTCTCTATTAATTATATACGTTTTTCAATTTTTAAAACAAAACAATTGGAGTTCATATATGTAACCATAACTATTTAATTAGATATTCAAACTACCTTCAATTGCTCTTTGAGTTTATCAACCATTGATTGTGTATATTGTTGAGGATGGTTCTGTTCTCGCATTTTAAACGATCCATAATAGTCGAAAAGATCGTTGCTGCCTATGACCACGATGAAGAGAGATTTGGATAGATGGACCTGTGCTTCGGCCGGTCTAATCTGACCCGTTACTTCGTAATGAATCGATAGCCAATCGTCCACTTGGTGTGACAAAGGAATAGATTGTCCCTAAAACAGTTACAACCATGGAATCAATACTCTTTTTCATTAATTCTTTTCCAGAATGTTTAAAATAATATTGATAAATCATGGAAGGGAATAAATATTTTTTTTTTTGGGTAAAAGGAAGGGAATATATATAAATAACTCACAAGTTTTTTGTCCGAACTGTTGAAGATTCCGGCTCCGCCTGAAGCAAAATTGACACCGGTCAAGGCCGCGTATTCTCTCTTTTTTTCTTTAAGTGGGCCTTTCAGTGAGCGATACGGTGGCGGTAACGGCAAACCAAATTTCTCAGCTAATTATTGATCAACCAGAAAATAAACTGTTAAAATGAATCCCTAAAAAATCAAAATAATAGTCTCGTATATGAAATTTGGAATGTCGTAAAAATATTAGGAGGATTACGTACATGTAATAACTTTTCTTTCCATTTATTTATTATCCATATATAAAAAAAAATATTATCTAAGAAGTATAAAACAAATTTCTGTCTCAAAATAACGGTTTAAATCAAGAAAATATCATTTAAAAGCAATATATCAATAACTAATTATCAGGAGCATTACGTGTAATAACTTTTCTTTACGGTTATATTCTAACCACTCATTTTAGGACTTATAGTGAATATATATAGAAAAATATTCTCTAAGAGGAATAAAACAAATTTCTGTATCAAAATAATGGTTTAAATCACACAAATATCGTTAGAAGCAATGTTAAAATAATCGCTAGGCTGTAGTTAAGTACATCTATAGAAGATTAGTGTTAAAAAGATTACTCGAAGTTTAGATGGAGTCTGAAATTTAACGAACTATTTATTTCTTTATTTATTATTTATTATATATCGTATATTTATATTCTATATTTTAATTGTTTGTGTTTAACTAAAAATTACTTTTATGGAACAGTAAATAACTGAATATGTTTTAAAATTTAAGAAGTTGGAGAAACAACTATAAGTTGTTTATAGATAGATTGATGGTGAAGAAGATATATAATTAAATTAGGTATAGTTCACTTTGAGACTACTTGATTTAACCAACTTAGATCGATTTAGATTGCTTAATCTTTTAGAACGATTTTAATAGACTTGAACTGCTTAATCTATATTTTAAAATAATCATTTTTGTTATAACCGGTTTACCGCGTTCACTGTTTATATTGATCCATAGAACATTGTTAAAAAAATATATATACAAATATATCACTATAAATAACTCTATCATTTAAGCTGGACATTTGGAATCCTAATCATGTTTTGGTTTTGTCCAATTGGGTTTTAGTTTTTTTGGATTTATCAAAATCAACCCATTCGAATTATTGAAAAGTTCGGTTCATGATTGGTTCGAGTTCTATCATGTTCGGGTTGGGGTTATAAATCTTGGACGAACCAGTACAGTCCGTTGTATTTTCGGGTTTGGGTCCCAATCGGTCATTCGGTTTAAAAATATCTGATTTTGTCCCTACTTTGTAACCAAAACATAAGTAAAATCGATTTTTCAAATATAAAGTACCTAATTTGTTATTTTTTTTAACCAAAACATAAGTAAAATTGTTTCAAAAATAAGAAAAAACATCAAATATGATCATTCAAAATCAAAAGAAAGATAATCATATTTATTGATAGAAAGAAAACTAAATAAATGAAAACAGAAAACGAAAATCAAGTTCTTAAGAAACGAAAAACATTATTAAATAAAAAAAAAACCTAAATTTAAAAACTTCAAACTACAGCTGTCACATTCAACCATCAAATCTTCATGTAGCAGAAAGTTATTTTAGATATTCACAAATATCTTAAAGTATTTTAGATACGTATTAGGAATTGAGATCATGTTTAGTACATGTTCTTTTTGAGAATTTTGAATGTATTGGATTCTATCATATTTAGTTTCGGGTTAGGTTCGGATAATATCCATAATCCAAAATACCATAAAACAAGAACCATTCGGTATTTATATTGGGTTCAGATCGGTTCAGATTCATTTTTATCGGATCATGTTTGGTTTGGATTTTTGAGTTCGGTTTATTTGTCCGACCCTAATATCATTTATTAAATATGTTATGAATTCTAGTTAAAGTGATAGATTAGTTTTTTTTTATTTCAAATAAATATGCTATGAATAAATAAACATAAAATCGAAGAAAGAATAAATGTTTTACAAATAGTAAATTGTATAAAATATATTAAAATTCAAGTGTAGAATTTAGGGATTTTTTTTTTTAAAATAGGGTTTTTGAGTTTTGGTTCAGTAGTTATAGATTATGATTCAGGATTAACGTTGAGAGTAATGTTGTTTTATGAATAATATTTTTCTGATTGTTAATGAATAGTTTTTTGAGTATTTGCACTCCATACACACACTAAACCTCATAATTCACTCCATACACACACTAAACCTCATAATTCACTCCATACCCCATTTCTTCCTTTATCTCTCCTCCTCCACACATTACTATTTTCCCCACCAAAAATGACAAATCCCTAATTTCCTATTTTCTTATGGATTTCTACCCAATTCACTCTAATTTTTTCAGTGTATTGAATATTTTTGGCGAGCACGTTTAGGTATCTAATTGTAACAAAACGTGGCCTGAGATAAATATGTAAAACATTATTAATTTCATTTCATGCCCAGCATAAAAAGTAATAACTTGACACTCACCGATAAAATCGGCCGCATTTTTTCCATTCGAGAATCTTCCGGTGGCTTTCTTTTCAGGAAAATCGACGCCGTTACGTGGATAATTAGCTTTGGCTATGGAAATTGGTAAGTAATTATTGTTTCCGGCATCAACCAACGAATCTCCAAACACGTATAGTGCCGGTATCGAAGCTAGTTTTCCGGTCGCTGCTTGTAAACCGGGAAATGAATCGAACCAAAATAAACTGAGTAGGAGTAACCAAATGGCGGGGGAGGCTGTTCTGTTCTTCGGCATGTTCTACTTTTCCCGACAAAACTCTTTAATTTGGGTTTTGTTTCCACCTTGGAGTTGTAAGAGAGATGTAGGCCGTTTTCTTCTTCTTCTTTTTTTTTTATAATTAAAATCTATATATAATAACAGCCGTAGATTTTAGTCGGCAAAATATAGCAAACCTAGATTCTGTGTCCGTCATCTTTTTCTTTTTTCTTTATAGGAGAATAGAAGTTAAATTTTACGGTCATAATTGTTTTAATTATGGAACATTCCTATCATCATTGTTTTCCTTCCATTCGTGTGGAGTGTCTCAATCTCATAAAACAGGAGTATTTTTCTTTCCCAAAACCTCATAGATCTCCTCTTGTAACGCTTCCCATCTAGAATTTCAAGTCAATATATCTCCAAATAGAAAAGTACATTTCTATCGCTTTCGAAACGCCAATGAACAGATCTATCATTTGCAACATCTAAACGGTTTCCATAGCATAAGTGTATGGCCGGTCCTGGGTATAAAAGGATGATTCCCCCCCCCCCCAAACTTTAAAGAAACATAAGTGGTCTGAACTGTTATGAATAAATAAGTAGAAAGACATAAACTAAACACTTTTTTATTTATATATGAAAACAAGAGAGATGAGATAGTAAAGTTGTTATTATTATTCATCTTCACTTCACGTACTATTTATAGTACAAGAGATTTATGTTAGTTATCTTATCAATGAACAAAAGAAAGATACATGTATATTGGTGAGTGATGACTAAAGGAGAAATGAGGACATCTGTCGATGATGGTGATATATGATATATATACATTTGTCTACTTGATGATTAATCACCATTTATAACATTTCCCCTTGATTATTCATCTTGTATTACGTAGTGCCTCGTTAAAACTTTAATCATGGAAAAAATCCGTAGGGCTAAAAACCATGAAAAAGGAAAAAGAGTACACTGACGTAATCTCCCCCTGAGCATAATGGACATAGCTTTTTCTTCATAGATCACGTAAGTGTCGCATCCCGATACTGTAGACGTGTTTTCGGAACGTCGTAGTAGGAAGGGCCTTTGTGAACAAATATGCGGGATTGTCGCATGACCGTACATATTCTATGTCTACTTCTTTATTTTTCTCGAGCTCCCATATGTATGAGAAAAATCTTGGAGGCATGTGCTTTATTCTGTCGGCTCTTTCTTATCAACTATTCAACTTGCTTCTTGTATTTGGTAACTCATTGACCTAAGCCACACACATTCTCGACATGCTTCGTGAAGTGCAATGGTTTCTGCATAATTCGAAGATGTTTCAAGCAGAGTTTGTTTATGCGAACGCCAAGAGATCGCTGTCCCACCAATTGTAAAAACATAGCAGTTTGCGAACGAGCCTTATGAGGATCTCATAAGTATCCTACATCAGCAAAACTAACCATACCAAACTCGGGTTTTCTAAAATACATTAACCCTAGGTCAACTGTACCTTGAAGGTAACGAAATATGTGTTTGATTCCGTTCCAATGCCTATGAGTGGAAGCCGAACTAAATCTTGCAAGTAGATTAGTGGCAAAGGCAATATCAGGTCTGGTACAGTTCGTCAGATACAACAAACCACCGATAGCGCTCATGTAAGGTACTTCTGGACCTAACATCTTTTCGTTATCTTCACAAGGTCTAAAAGGATCTCTATCAACATCGAGAGTCCTACCAACCATTGGGGTACTCAAAGGAGTTGCTTTGTCCATAGGAAAGCTTTTTAATAACCTTTTCGTATAATTTGATTGATGCACAAATATACCTTCTCGGAGATGCTCAATTTTGAGCCCAAGACAAAACTTTATCTTTCCGAGATCTTTCATTTCGAACTCTTCTTTCATATGAGTTCGTGCATCGTCAACCTCCTTCTGAGTTCCAATAATGTTCAAGTCATCAACATATACAGCAATGATCACAAAGCCAGATGACGATTTCTTAATAAAAACGCATGGACATATCTAATTATTCACATATCCTCTTCTCAAGAGATATTCACTTAAGAGATTGTACCACATGCGTCCGGACTGCTTTAATCCGTAAAGTGATCGCTGTAACTTGACCGAACAAATCTCCATGGGTTTCTCTTTCAATGCCTCTAGCATTTTCAATCCTTCAGGGAGTCTCATGTATATATTATTATCCAATGATCCATACAAGTATGCAGTCACAACGTCCATGAGATGCATTTCAAGATTCTTTGACACCGTAAGGCTCATCAAAAATCTAAACGTAATTGCATCCATTACTGGGGAATACGTTTTCTCAAAATCAATTCCCGGTCTCTTAGAAAAACCTTGGGCTACTTATCGGGCTTTATATCGTGTTACTTCAGTCTTTTCATTTACTTTTCTCACGAATACCCACTTTTACCCAACATGATTTACATTCTCAGGCGTTATGACTATAGGTCCAAAGATATTTCTTTTATCTAGGGAGAGTAATTCAATTTCAATGGCTTTCTTCCACTCCTCCCAATCATGTCTTTTCATACATTCTAAAATGAACCTTGGATCAAGATCATCACTTTCGTGATCTATTTCTTTGGACACAGAAAAGGAGAATATTCCATCAACATCTTTTATTTTATTTATGATCCATAACTTTTTATCTTGGGCATAGTTGATGGAAATCTCATAATTTTCTGTTCCCTCCTCGTCATCTGGATCTTTTTCTTTATTTGGTTCTTCTTGAACCTTTTCATCTATGTCTTATTTCAGACATCTTTCAGTATCAGGTTCTTCTAGAACCTTCCCTTTTTGCTCAACCAATTTCTTTTTCTTTCGGGGATTTTTATCTTTAGAACCCACAGGTCTCCCCCTCTTTAACTGAGCCCTAGGCTCATTCATTGTATCTCCATCAGTTTGTTCTTCGGGAACAACAACTCTTGATGGAACGTTTTCAGCAGGTATATATGATTTTGTCACCCTTCTCGTATTTGTGAACGCATCTGGTAACTGGTTTGCCAAATTATGAAAATGCACAATTTTATGAACTTCCAACTCTCTTTGATTTGTAGGGGGATCAAGGTGTAACAACGATGGTTGTGAGGGATAAAACTCACTTCCTGATTTTAGGTTAGGTTTAGATTGGAGAAAAGATAATGTGGGCTGAATCCCGTAAGAACTTGTAGAATGAATATGATTGTATTGATGTTTTTGGTAAAGAGATGATTACAAAGATGATTCTGATGATTACAATGAATTATGAGAATGTTTTGTGAACTAAGATATGTGTAAATGATAGAATGAATGAATCGAGAGAGAATCCCCTTCTTCTTCATCTTGCTTCTCTTTAAATAGCCTCAAGCCACGTTTGACTGATCCTAACCAACCTCCGAGATTTGCTCTGTGAGTTGGGGGATTCTCAATAGCCTCCTTTTGACCGGGTCATGCGCAACCAGCCTGAGCTACTCCCGTTAGCTCTTTGCAAATGAGGTCCGGAGCTCTCCTCCGTGACATGTTTTGTTGACGTCCCTTCCTTAGCAAACAGCCTCTGGCTTCTTCTTAACTATTTTCTCAAAAGATTAATTGCTAATGGGCTTACAGTGACCCATTGTCAACTCTTATCGCTCGACCCCATTAGTCTCAGCTAGCGGGCCATATTTGGGCCCAACAGTTGCCCCCAGCTTTCGAGATGAGACCTCTTTTCTCGAAAGCTAAAGCTCAACCGCCTGATCTCTATCTCTTTGTTGAGATAGCGATTATGTCTTCGTGTTCCCAAGACTTCTGCCCAATGGGCTTTCTTTTTATCTTTGTTAAGACTTGTGGCCTGAGGAGGCCTTTAAACCTTTGCTTTGTTAAGATCTTTGAACTTAAGCAGCATGTGGAGGCTTTTAAATTCTTGTTTCGTTTTATTCTGCCTTCGACTTATAAAGATTTTAGTTTGATCTTGACTGGGATCAAACTTTTTCGCTAAGGGGTTCGTCGATGTTTTGATGAATTCCTTAGTACGGACTCGATCGTCTAAGTAGAAGTCTTTACTTCTTTGAACGAAGAATTCTGGGTCCTGTTAGTAACAGGTCCCTAGTCGTTAGACATGAGGTCTAGGAAACTTTCGGGTGAAGGTCGGGGAGCCTGTTGATAACAGGTCCCGTAGCCTTTTAGCGAGAGGTCCCGAGAATGGGTTTCTGGGACCTGAATTTACTTGTGATTTCTTTTAGATCTCGAACGCTGCTAAGGGTTTGGCGACCTTAGCTTGAGGTTTTTGAGAACCTGAATTTTTTTTTTTTTTTTTTTTTTTGTTGAAGGATTTTAAGACCTTGAGTTTTGTTAAGGTTTTAAGACCTTAGATTGAGGTTCTTTGGGAACCTGGATTTGTTTTCGAAGGATTTTAAGACCTTCAGTTTTGTTAAGGGTTTTAAGACCTTAGAATGAGGTTCTTTAGGAACCTGGAATTGTTTTCGAAGGATTTTAAGACCCTGCGTTTTGTTAAGGGTTTAAGACCTTAGAATGAGGTTCTTTGGGAACTTGGAATTGTTTTCGAAGGATTTTAAGACCTTGAGTTTTGTTAAGGGTTTTAAGACCTTAGAATGAGATTCTTTGGGAACCTGGATTAGCTTGTTTGAAGGATTTTAAGACCTTTCAGGTTACTCATGATTTTAAGACCTTAGGTTTAGGTTTGTGGAAACCTGAATTAGCTTGTTTAAAGGATTTTAAGATCTTTGAGGTTACTAAGGATTTTAAGACCTTAGGTTTAGGTTTGTGGAAACCTGAATTAGCTTGTTTAAAGGATTTTAAGACCTTTGAGGTTACTAAGGATTTTAAGACCTTAGGTTTAGGTTTCTGGAAATCTGAATTAGCCTTTTTAAAGGATTTTAAGACTTTTGAGGTTACGAAGGATTTTAAGACCTTAGGTTTAGGTTTGTGGAAACCTGAATTAGTCTGAAGGATTTTAAGACCTTAGGTTCAGGTTCACGGAGACCTGAATTCGTTCGAAGGATTTTAAGACCTTAGGTTCAGGTTCACGGAGACCTGAATTATTTTGAAGGATTT